TATATTTTATATTCAATTATATAATAAATATTTTAAATGGTGCAAGTAGTTTAGTGGTAAAGACTATAATTTATATCTTCATAACAAGGGTTTGATTCCCACTAAATGCTATTTTGAAATAATTCTATTAAATGATAATATATATATATATATATATATATATATATATATATATATATATATATATATATATTAAATGGTGCATATTAACTAACAAATAAACGCAGCTTTGTGATAAGTTGTTGTTGGACATTCTCACAAGACTCGAGTTCGAATCTCAGCGGCTGCAACTTTGAAAATATTTTTTCAAAAATCGGGTTGAGTTGTAAAACCGGTCCACCAGTTGAACCGCGGTTCTTGACCGGTTCACCGGGTCGATTGCTTGTCTGGTCCATTGGAAGAATCGGATCGGTTGATGGGTCGGTTTCCGGGCCAACCGGTCGGACCGGCCGGGCCGGTCCGGTTTTCACAACACTGCTTAAAATAAGTATTCCGCAAGAGTTACCAGTTATAGTCACAGCTTTTAATTATTACGCTTTTTATTGTTTTAAATGCTCGCGTAATAATTGGAAAAAGATAATGAATGTTAACAATACCGGTGTACAACGGGCTGTTACATATCCTCAATAGTTATTTTGCTTGAAGTCTTGAACTACTCCTTTGGAAGAATTGAAGTTATGGTAATTACTTTTATTAAGTTATTATTCTTATCTCTAGAAGTTTGTTGATATTGATGGTATCAACTTGGGTTATATGTTGCTACACCATCCAAACAAAAAAACTTTACATATGCATACACGGATCAGTACTGTGTTCATTTTGCAAGATTTGGGATTTTTTGTAAAATCTTTACATATACATCTAGTGAGCAGGAAAAATTAATGTTTTTCAAGTTGTACCCAGATGCTAATTTTTCATATTTATATATATCCGGGTCAACCGGTCCGACCAGTGACCCACCGGTCCGACCAGTGACCCAGTGACCCAGTACCCTGACCGGGTTGATGCCCAGTCCAGGTTTAACAACACTGATTATAACTATGTTACTATCTACGAGTGAGACCAGTATAAAATTTTATTTAATGATAAATAGAATATTGAAAAGAAAATATTAAATGGTGTTTACGTTGTTAGCATTTTTTATAAATCAATTGAAATGAAGAATAAATTCAAAAGAGGATATTTATTTTACAGAAATATAAAAGTGATAAATTCATATTTATTTCCTCCTTATTTTTTATTCTAATTAACATAATTAGAGGATACATACGAATTTATTTGATTGGATATCAAATTAAAAAATATTTTTTATTATATCTAAATATTTACTTAAAATGAATATTTCCATCTGTTATTTTTAAATATTGAAATTTGAAATCTTTCAAATTGAAAAAGTAGAAATACTCTTTAAAGGAAAAATCAAATGCATTAAAATTGGGTTATATGTTGCTACACCATCCAAACAAAAAAACTTTACATATGCATACACGGATCAGTACTGTGTTCATTTTGCAAGATTTGGGATTTTTTGTAAAATCTTTACATATACATCTAGTGAGCAGGAAAAATTAATGTTTTTCAAGTTGTACCCAGATGCTAATTTTTCATATTTATATATATCCGGGTCAACCGGTCCGACCAGTGACCCACCGGTCCGACCAGTGACCCAGTGACCCAGTACCCTGACCGGGTTGATGCCCAGTCCAGGTTTAACAACACTGATTATAACTATGTTACTATCTACGAGTGAGACCAGTATAAAATTTTATTTAATGATAAATAGAATATTGAAAAGAAAATATTAAATGGTGTTTACGTTGTTAGCATTTTTTATAAATCAATTGAAATGAAGAATAAATTCAAAAGAGGATATTTATTTTACAGAAATATAAAAGTGATAAATTCATATTTATTTCCTCCTTATTTTTTATTCTAATTAACATAATTAGAGGATACATACGAATTTATTTGATTGGATATCAAATTAAAAAATATTTTTTATTATATCTAAATATTTACTTAAAATGAATATTTCCATCTGTTATTTTTAAATATTGAAATTTGAAATCTTTCAAATTGAAAAAGTAGAAATACTCTTTAAAGGAAAAATCAAATGCATTAAAATTGGATATGTGTAACGAGTTTCCTCTGTTATAAGCCATAGACTCGTGAAATTGTATATTATATTTTATGTATAATATTTTGTAGGGAAAAAAGTTTCCGATGTTACTTTAGATAACTTTATCTAATGTTCATCGAAATGACGTCGTTTTGGGGTTGAAAAATTAAAAAATTAGAGTGATAAAGACTATTATAATCCTGAAATAAATTAAAATTACAAAAATACCATGATTTCCGTCCCAAAACGACGTCGTTTTGATGAACATTAGATAAAGTTATCTAAAATAACATCAGAAAAAACAAACCCAATATTGTAATGATAGATTTCTTAAGCATTAATTTCAGTAGGTAAAAAAAGATTATATTTTAATTAGAAGCATTCACATAAGGCAAATCGATATACTGATACAGAAAACTATATATAAAAATTAATATTGAGCTTATGCGAAATATAAAATAATCAAATAGCCTTGAATAATAATGAATAGTAATTATGAATTAAAATTTAATATATTATTTAAACAAACAAAATATACAAAAATATCTAAGGTCAAAGATATGATACTAACATGCGAATCCTTTTGTATAATTGGGAATTAGCATGTTTACTATAGATCCAATGTCTTTAAAGAAACTCATTATGTCTTGTAGATTTTTAACAAATTTAAAATGTTATAAAATCTATAAAAAAAAATAGCTACACAGAGTATTTTCTTAAACATTAATCAATATCAATATATTTTTTTATTTTTTAAAATTTATCTCATTCAAAAAGAAATTAAAAACAATTAAAGCGTTGGTGTGAAAAAGAGAAAGAAAAATGATGAAAGTAGTCGCAGAATCTATTAGCCTCCCAATAATTGCCCAATATTAAAGTCAAACTAAAACTCCATTTAGTAACGGGGCGTAAACTCCAATATTACTATGTAGTCTCTAGATGAAAGCACAAGGCACTATCAGAACTGATTAACTGGCAACGTTGTTACACATTAAATAAAAGGACAAAAGAATGAGAAAGACATGTTACCCGCCATGCATCCCCTTATCCAAGCTTTTGAATCAACAAAACTCACGTCAAAGAAACCACGTTCTCCCCACGTCCCATTCTCTTTGCCCTCATCCCAATACGGCAATTTTTCCTTCCACACATACATACACATATGGGAATCAAACGAATGAGTATATGCTTTGTTTTAACATGGTCCCATCATATGTGAAATCTCAAATATTTATTCACAGATTAAATGCGATATTGGTATAGAATAAGATAAATTATTAAAGAAGTCCTCGCCACCCAACAACTTAAGCTTTAGGGTTGAAATGATTATTTAAATGGTATCAGAGCTTCCGTGTCGCGGGTTTGATCCTCACTTCTCCCCACATTTTATTGTGTAATTTCTTAGCACAGATAGGTGCAATATTGTTAAAACGTAGAGTCTATGTAAAAACGTAAAATCACAAAACGTAAACGAAACGTAAGAGTTTACTAACATATTAAAAATAAAATATATATCCAACATATATAAAACCAAAACTCACAAACATGTTTATTTTATAAGAATGTCAATTTTAATCTGTTTTAATTTATATAGAATAATTTTAATGTATTAATTATATAAGTTATTAAATTTAAGCTAATTAATGACTAAAAATATATATAATTTTTTATTATTATTACGTGTGATATATATATATATATATATACATATATATATATATATATATATATATATACATATATATATATATATATGGGGTAAGATCATTTGACACCGGTGTCAAATTTGAAGTTTGACACCTCATCTGAGAGCCATTAGATTAAAAAAGATCAACGACTCTGATTTGTGAGCATGTGACACCATTGATCTTTTTTGATCTAACGACTCTCAGATGAGGTGTCAAACTTCAAATTTGACACCGGTGTCAAATGATCCTACCTCTATATATATATATATATATATATATATATATATATATATATATATATATATATATATATTTGAACTATGCAAAAAAAAAATTCATATTACATTTCGACATTACGTTTGAACGGTTTCGACTCAAAACTTGTTTCAACTACCGTTTTGACTCGATTTTGGTCATAAAAACGTAGACACGGTCCGTTTTTACGTTTCGACACTACGTCTTTACAACACTGGGTAGGTGGATATGTGCATTTGTCCACTCTTCAAGTCCAGTGAACTCTAATGGGTGATGGCCTCTTTAATTATTTATATTATTATTTAACATGCACTCTCACAATAGAGCTTATTGGACTCGAATGGTGGACAATGCATCAGACTCAGCTTATTTGTGTTAAGAAACTCCACAAGTCATAATTAATTATTAATAAGTAGAGGCGATGAGGATCAAACACGTGAGATTGAGGCTCTGATAACATGTAAAGAATCAATTCAACCAAAAAACTTAAGCTGATGGGCGAGAACTTTTTAATGATTTATACTTTTCTCTAATAAATATATTTCTAATAACGAAGTTCATAATATGAAAAAGAGAAAATTATGATTTTTAATTCTTCATTACTAATTTATCAATATATAATTGAAAATTTTCACATGGCATAATAATATTAAAAAGACATAATACAATGATCTTTCTCTATAAATAAACCAGAATCCTTACGCATAACAATACATGACACCAAATCTTAGTCATTAATGTATTTGTATTTAATAACATACATATTAAATAAATCAAAATCGTTAAATATAAATAAGATAAATGAACAAAATTGAGAGCAGAGTATATAACTATGTAAAATAATCGAATTCCTCCTTTACCCAAATGTTCCATACGTTTCTATTTCCTTATAAAAGCATCCCTCATTTAACCAAATCCTAAGACTGATCAAAGCTATTTAAGAGAGGGGAAGATTGACATAAAATAAACGCCAACAGAAGGCCTTATTTTCTTCCTTGCAAAGGCTTTGGCTTAACTTGCAAACTTATGCGTTTCCCTTCTTCTACCATGGAGTCCTGTAATTGGGTTCTCAAACATGTGTCCATTTTATTGGTTTTCTTCCTTTCTTCTTCAACCTCTGCAACTCCCACTTCCTCACTTTTAAACCATGTGATTGCCAACACTACAGCCCTACACCGCAATTTCACTGCGGTATCGGATTTCAGAATGATAAATAGACGAATTTTGAAGGATTGCTCTGCTTCAATGTCCTCTGTTAAAGTCAATGTCACCTCAAATTCTAGCTTGTCAGATGATGAGTTTGTTACGGTCACAGTCACAGGCGTTTCGAACCCTTCAGATGGTGATTGGGTGGCTATGATCTCTCCTTCAAATTCCAAGTAAGAAATACTGAGTCATATATGATTATAGATGCATGATGGAGTTTAAACCATTGAGTAATATATGATTATAATTAGTTGGTTTTGTTTTTTATTGAATATGCAGTGTTAAAACTTGTCTTCTTAATGAGTTCCTTTATCTACAAACTGGTGAAACTGCCGAACTTCCTCTGCTTTGCCATTACCCTGTCAAGGTATGTTCATGAACATGCTTTAGTTTTTTCTTCTTTTTTGTCCCATTTTGCTATTAATGCTATGGTGAGATATTTGGTGCAGTCATTTTCTTTCTTCCGACCTTATTAATTTATTCAACTGCGAGATATTTGTTCAATATTTAATACAGGGGAAGGATAAATTTACAAATTTTTTGTTAAATTTACAAAGGGATAGGATCTGTTTACAAACTTTTTTTTGCAAATTACACTAAATACGACCGGTCGTACACTGCATGATTAAAGTATGACAGGTCGTACTTAGTGTAGTTTGTAAACAAAAAAGTTTGTAAATATAATCTACCCTATTTACAAATTTTTTTTTACAAATTTTTGCAAACTATATTATGTCTCGGTAAGACACTCTTGAGTAGAGTATTACCGGTCATACATAGATTTAAAAGTTTGTAAAAAAAAAAAATTTGTCAATATAATCCTTCTCGTCGTAATATCTTCCAAATTTTTGAACAAGGTCAATATCTGGGGAAAAAATCAAATGGAGCAGTGTCAATTCATAATACTGTTAGTAGTAGCATGCCTCATAAATGCCATACCTATTATCTTTGTTGGGTATGGGGTGCAAAACTTGCTTGTCTGGTAAAGTATTATATAGGATTGCTATCCATTTTCAACCATCTTGTTTCCAACTAGGTTTTTTTTATTTTATAATAATTTTATTTTACAGAAAAAACAGCTAGTAATATAAAAGTAAAAGCAGCTAACAATTAATTATGGAATCATAAATAAATTATTTATGAAAAAGTCAATTGCCAGTAATTCATTAATACTAGTAAATAGGTATTAAGCAGTTATTGTTGCATGCCACATGCCTTAAGTAACGTTAATTAATCATGCAGAGATGTGTCCTTTCTTTTTTTTTCTTAAAAGTTTAAGTTTGACTTGGCCTCAGATAAGCATCCTCCAACAACTGTATGTTCATACACGCTTGCTTTTAACAATCTCACCGTCCCTAATTGAATTCTATACTCTGAATGGTGCAACCGTCCATGTGAAGCTTTTTTTTTTTGAGTATTTGCTGTTTGCTTATTGTTGAGATATATATTCTCATATTGGTTGTATGAGCAATTAATGTAAAGTTTATAAGATTTTGGGCACTCCCGAATTAAGTTGAGTCCACTTGTTGTGACTTAAATAAGCATTAAAGTGGAATTAAAAACAAAAAACACAAAAGTTAAACCAAAAATTAGGCCTGTGCATAATCCACGCTTCAAGCCCAAAGAGCTCTTGTGTGAAGGGGCGTGTTGAGATATATAGTCTCACATTAGTTGTATGAGCAACTAATGTGGAGTTTATAAGACTTTGGGCGCTCCCACCCCTTGAGTTAGCTTTTGGGGTGGTGACCTCTAGGTTCTTATCACTTATTATCGTTTGTACTATGCCTTTTTCAAGTTTCAACCCAACCCACACCTTAATGTTTTTGTTTGGCCTCTTTTATTTGTGTCTTTATCAGCATCTTCCATCTATTCATCATGTATTAAATATTTTTATAAAACTATTTTTTATTAATTTTGTTAATTAATTAATTTATTATTTGATGTAATATCACATCAACGATAACTTGACACATAAACTTTAACCGCATATATTTAATAATAAAATAAAACAACTCATACTGAAATAGTTTATAAAAAAAAAGGCTTATTGCCCATAATTCATTAATATTATTAAATTTGCATTAATTGGTTATTGTTGTAACATAAGATAATCATGCAGAGAGTTACTCTTTCTTTCTCAAATGTTTTAGTTGACTTAACCATACTGATAATCATTCTTCAATTGTATGTTCAAACACGCTTTCTACACTCTGAATGCATGGTCCAACCATGTCCATGTGAATGAGTGTTTGTTGTTGCTTTTCATCTGTGTACATAACTTGGACGCCTTTTCAAGTTTCAACCCAATGCACACATTAACATATTTGATTGGCCTCTTCCATTGCACCTTTATTATCAACACCCTCCATCTAATCATGTATTAAATATTCAAATAATATATAACCTATAGTATCACAATGAGCTATTATAAGATTTTACCAACATGAGTATAATATTTTGTTGGTCTGAATCTGGATTTATTTACTTTGATTTGAGATCCAAACTTGGCTTGCAATAGATAAACAATTGTTTCCATTCACACTTTCACTGCAACCACATTATATTTTTATAATCATTAGGGATTATCATTTCTGTTTCAGTGGGAGAAATTTTTTTTCTATCACTAATACATAAAAAGGAATGGCCCCATCATTATTTTTTCTCTCATTCCTCTTCTTTTTCATTATTTTATGTTTCGGTGGCAGATTTTTTTCTTCTTCTGTCATTGAAGCAGAAATGATAATTAATTAATCTCATAGATAAAAGATATTTATATACATAGTGATATCCAATATTTCTTTCTTGTAATTAAACCACACAAAAATGTTCACTTATTTGATGTTTAGAAAATACCTCCTACATATCATTTAGAACCACATCATTTATCTTTAGGAGGGGTTTAAAACCTTAATCCTGGACTCGCCCCTGCGAAGCAATGAACCGATTGGAATATTTCCAAAAAAAAAACCACACCATTTACATTGTCACGTTAAAATCAGATATGGATATGTAAATAAATGCTCTCTTTAAATTTCTACCAGAGAAAACGTTTTTTTAATTTATCACATGATGCATTGAGATTTCACTCACAAAGTTGGAGCAGCCTTTTCTCCTTCAACTCACTCCATCCATGTATTACTAATAAATTCAACCCCAAAATTCTTTCCGTTTAATTTTGTAATGAATAATAATATTTGTTTATTTTTAAACGTAATTAATTCTCTTCACTGTTTTACATTTATACATTGTAGTCTTTTTGAAATTTAATTGAAAGTTCTAAAAAAAATTACTAAATTTTATACCAATTTAATTTTTTTTCTTCTTTTTACAACTTATGCTGTGCACCAGATTAACTTAAAATTCTGTGTGCATTGTGCATACGTCCATTGTGAAAGTAACTTTTTTTTTTTTATGTATTTCAAATAAGAATGAAAAATAACATCAAGGGATATTAAAGTCAAAATTGGATGTTAAAATTGGGGTTTCTTGACTACATTGTCAAAGTGACATTACGTTCACGTAATGTTTAAAATGGTATATTACAGGAGGCATTGTTATATTCGTATGGTTTATTCATTTATTATTTTTGTTGGTGCCTGTGGAATAAAGGCATATTCCTATAAGATATTATCTGTCAAATTTATGTATTTCTAATTTGTATGGACAATAGCATTCTCATAATCGATGGATTTAATGCTTCCACCTAATCATTTTTGTTCCCTGGAAAGTGGAGCTATCGTTAGTAGAACTGTAAATGAATTATGTCCGCCTATAAAGATTTATGTCATAGCCTATATTATTATAAATAATTAAATAGAACAGATTTATATTTTTAAAAATCATTTAAAAAGTAGGTTATAGACCTTTTTTTGTACATATCAGATTTATAAGCCTACAGATAATGATGCACGGACACGAATACGAGACACGACACGACACACCGACACGTTAATTCTAAAAAATGTCATATTTCGACACGTTGGGACACGTTTTGATATTAAATAAAAATTTTAATATATATAATATAATTTATATTTAATACATATAAGAGTACATAATAAGTCATATAACCAATCAAATATTTAAATTTCACAACGTAAATATAAATATAAATAATTTTTCGTACTTTGTTAAATTTTCATGTCTAATTTCATAACAGAAAAAAATCAATTTATAAATTATTTCTTTTATATTTAGTTAACAAAATAAAATAAATTAAAAAAAATGTGTCCGAGCATTGATCGCGTGTCCGAAAAAGTTGACCGCGTGTTAGAAAAACGTGTCGGAGAATTGACCGCGTGTCCCCCAAATGTTGTCGAACGCATGTCGGAGCGTGTCCGTGTCGGCAAGGAAGCACGGACACTTGTAAAAACAAGAAGAGTCGGGTCCGACACGCTCCGACACGGCGACACGCTCCGACACGGTGTCGGACACGCGGTTGACTTTTTCCGACACGTTAACTATTCCGACACGCGAATTTGACCGTGTCCGACACGGTCAAATGGCATTTTCGTAATTTTATTTTTTATTTTTTTAAAATAAATTTATATTTTTTTTAAAAGTTAAAATATATTAATAAAGCTTCCACCTGATCATATCAATTTTGTCTTTTTGTCTTTTTCCCCTTAAGTAGATAAGAGATCATCTCAGCATCATTGTTGTCAATTCCTATCACGCTCTTGTTGTATCTTCTTCTCTCTGATCTCTCTCTAATATGATTTGATCTCTCTATCTGATATTATATCCCTCACTCATCCCAGTTCTTATTTTTTTATTAAAGCTTCCATCTTTATAACGTGTTGATGGGTATTATTAATTTAGTTTCATTTTTTTGTTAAATTATTAAATATTAAATGATATATACACTATATAAATTAAAAATATTATTTAATATTAAAACGTGTCCCAACGTGTCGAAATCCATAATTTTTTAGGATTGACGTGTCGGAGTGTCGTGTCGTGTCGTGTCGTGTCACGTGTCGTATCAGTGCTACATAGCGTGTCGGACACGTGTCCCACACACAAATTTCTCAAAAGAAAGCGTGTCCGTGTTTCACAGCCTACAGACCTGCTTATATCATATTATTTATTTTAAATAAAATTATTATTTTAATAATTTTGAATAATAAAATAATATTATTTTATTTATTTTTTAATTATAGAATGTTTAATAGACTTAAACATACTACCAGACTTAGGTCAAAATTTTTATTTTTTAAATATAGATCAACTCAATCTTATAATTCGGAATAATATAAACTAATAGGTGACATCTGATCTATTTAAGCGCAATTGTAACCTTACACCCCTGCTCGTTGGTCATTACAGACACGCAATTGATGATTTTTCAACTAGATAAGATCAGATAACATCTCGTTTGCTTTTGGTCACACTATCAGCAGCAAAATTCTAATATAAATGTGTTCCTTTCCTTGTTTGTTTATTTTATGATATTTATTTTGCTTATGTGTTTTGAGTGAAAAGTCCAAAAGCTAGCAGAGAACATATGGACAATCTTGAAAACTACAAGTTGAATATTTGAGGCCCTATGAGTGGATTCCTCATTAGAAAGAGCTTTATTAAAATAGCTATGAGAATTGCAAGAACTTACTAAAAACAAATTTTTGATCATTAATAATTTAACTTAAAATGTAATTTTATTTTTAAAAAAAAAGTAGTTTATTTTTTTTAAAAAAATAACACACGCCATTATAAATTAGTTTTTAAAATTTTAATTTTTAAATTTATTACGTTGTTTAATATATTTAAAAAAAAATTCTCTTTTAATCTATACTTTTATAGATTTTTTTGAATTAATTATGCATATCTTTTTATAGTTTTAAAAATTTTTATTCTAAATTTTTTATTTTAATCTATATTTATTTTTTAAGATTTTATTTGAATTAAAAATACTGATATAATGGGTAACCAATAAAAATAAAAATATGGAGACATTTGCTAGTAAGTTTTAAAGGCATTATGCTTGAATAAGTATAACAAATATAGAAAACATTTGCCTCTGAAATAATTTAAAATATAATGTAACTTTAACTCATTAAATAATTTAAAAATGTATATATTTTTATTCGTTCACTTTGTAATGAAGGTTAATTTCAAAAAAAGTAACTTATTAGATGACTTTAAACTAATAATACTCCTCTATTGTTAAACAAAATCACAGAGTTACAATCCTGCAAAATTGTTAATTATCAATTTCTCGAAAAAAAAAAAAAAAAAAACTGCCCACCATTTAACAAAAATGTATTAACTGTAGTTGATAGGTTTGGATGGAAGAAGTACCTATGCCATATACTTCCTTTTGTCCCTGTGATATGTTATCTCTACCATCAATGAATTCCATGTGTTTTTTTAAAGCTTTAAAAAGTATTGTTGATCATATTATGTTTTATAAAGTATTTAATAGCAATAAAAATCCATTAAATGTGCAGCTTATAGGTTAGTACACTGGTACATAAATGTTTCATAAGGTTGCTAGCTGTGAACTATGAAAGATGAAAAGGAATTTATATTTGTTCAAGTGATAATCAATCATGGAAATGTCCTATATCTTGTAATAATGTTGTACTCTCGGATGAACCAAAATGTAGGCACAATATATGAAAAACGATCCAGATTATCTCAATTGCACTACCACAACTTGCAGTGGTTCAATACAGTTCCATGTTATCAACATTAGAAGTGACATTGAGTTTGTGTTCTTCTCTGGTGGATTCCTGGAACCCTGCATTGTGGGAAGGTCCATGCCTTTGAGTTTTGCTAGTCCTAAAAGGCCACTCTATGGACATCTCTCAAGCATAGATTCAACTGGAACATCAGTAAGTAGCAAACTACTGTTCTGCTCGAAATCTTCTGTTCATTTTTTCTCAAATGTGATAGGGTAAAAGCTAACAGTTCAAAATTGATTGGTCCTGCAGATGAGATTGACATGGGTTAGTGGAGACAACCAAACTCAACAAGTCCAATATGGAGATGGAAAAACTGCTACTTCAGTAGTTGCTACATTTTCACAAGATGATATGTGCAGTGAGTAATAGCTTTATTTTTCCCTACTCTTAAGTATGTGTTTCATGTATGCTTCTAGCATGTACATCAATTGAGTGAAGTAGAATTCTACATTATTATGGTAGGGAATATTGACAGAACAGCTGTTATAGTCATTTTAGAATGGTTTCACTCATGATTATTTGTTTCCATTTGGAATTGACAGGTACACCACTGCTGCCAAGTCCTGCCAAGGATTTCGGGTGGCATGACCCTGGATACATCCATTCAGCAGTTATGACAGGACTTAAGCCTTCAAGCACCTTCTCCTACAGATATGGAAGGTATGAACTTTATGGAATAAATTGAGTTTATAGTTTGAGAAACTATCTATATTCTGCCTTCTTGATGGATGCATTAATAACTGACATGAAAATGATTTTGATCTCAATCTCTGTCAAAACTATCTATTCTACTTAATGGAATACTACTAGTACACCTGAATTGCAAGAATTTGTATTTGTGCACAAAGTAATGCAAGAAATTGTGATATTGCTCATCAAATTAAGTTGATTTCCCTTCATCTGATGGTCCAGTAATTCGGTTGGTTGGAGTGAACAAATCCAGTTTTCAACACCACCTGCTGGAGGATCGGATGAGCTCAGATTCATTGCATATGGTGATATGGGCAAGACTCCTCTTGATGCTTCTAAAGAACACTATATTCAGGTAAACTGCTAACATTTAGAATTCAGATGCATATTAAGATAAGCCACTAGGATTGGGCTAGTGATTAGGGTTTTGAGTGTTTTTTATGAGGTCATTGGGCTTCTCCAACATCATTGCATCATCAGTATATACTGACCAACTCTCTTCATCTTGTTTTTCAAACAGCCAGGAGCACTTTCAGTAATTAAAGCTATAGCCAATGATGTAACTTCCAACACTGTAAACTCAGTCTTTCACATTGGAGACATAAGCTATGCAACAGGTTTTCTAGCAGAATGGGATTTCTTCCTTCACCTTATCAGCCCAGTAGCTTCCCGAGTTTCTTACATGACAGCAATAGGGAACCATGAGAGGTATATTGCATTGCTTCCACATGAATGATACAACTGTCCAACGAACAGCTTCCTCCAATCATTACTTATTTCCCTTAAATTGTTGTCTACTCCAAAGTTAAAATTTGATGAAAATTATTAATTTATATACTCATAATTGAATAACTGGCATTGTTGATATGATGAGGAATATAAGAAAACATGTTATGGTATCATGACATATCATTGCTGAACTTCTTATTTATACTCAGGGATTATGTAGATTCTGGTTCAGTATATCTTACTCCTGACTCTGGTGGGGAATGTGGAGTACCCTATGAAACATACTTTCCAATGCCAACTGCAGCAAAGGATAAGCCTTGGTACTCTATTGAACAAGCAAGTGTTCATTTCACAGTAATATCAACTGAGCATGACTGGTCAAAAAATTCTGAGCAGGTATAAAATGAGGGAAGCCACTATTTTGTTTCTTAAATTTCTATTTTCTAGTTTAATTGAATAATTACGTAATATATATGAATTTTCTATTGTAGTATCAATGGATGAAAAAGGACATGGCATCAGTTAATCGAAAAAATACTCCTTGGCTAATCTTCATGGGGTAAGTGAGTTGTGTTAAACCATAGGCTTTCTCAACTTCACAGCATCATTGGATCTATCAATTAAGCATAATATTTTTACATGCAGACATAGACCAATGTATACCTCCAACCATGGATTGTTATCTCGTGATGGCAATTTTGTTAAAGCTGTGGAGCCATTGCTTTTAGAGAATAAGGTTAGAACATCAAGCTCATTAGACCTTGGTTACAGTTCCTTATAGTAGCAGTTGACTGAAATTGTGAACATGAAACAGGTTGACTTGGTTCTTTTTGGTCATGTGCATAATTATGAGAGAACTTGTTCTGTCTATAAAAATAAATGTAAGGCCATGCCTACAAAAGATGGAAATGGAGTTGACACATACAATAACAGCAATTATAGTGCCCCTGTGCATGCTGTCATTGGCATGGCTGGCTTCACCTTAGACCAGTTCTCAGACCACGTAAGTAATTCTTTCTTTCTCATGAGACTCTTTCCTCCTCAATTCTCCATTCCACTCTCTCCATATTTTCTCTTATTGCAAGAAAATACATAACATTACATTTATTCATATATACATCCATATCTTCTGGACTATGCTTATGGTTTTTAACAAAGCAATCAAACTGTATATATGTTCTCTTTCATCCACAGGTAGAGAGCTGGAGCCTGGAAAGGATTTCTGAATTTGGTTATCTAAGAGCACATGCTACTCAGAAAGATTTAAACTTGGAGGTTAGTTCTTACATGCTTATATTCCAATCTCAATCGCCAAGGGTCATAGCTTATTTAATTTTACCTCTCAAACCACATCTGTTTCTATATTTCTATCCATTGATCAAGGATTTCTCAATGGATCTTGTTCCCTGAATTCTTTATTTTATTTTATTTTTAATAAAAATTTACCCCACAAGGATAGCCAAGAAACAAAAAAACACAAGGGAGATAGGGGTATGTCATTTAAACAAGAAACAAGCAAGAACAACACAACAGAACAAAGTGATTATTCACAGAAAGTTTACTTTTCTCAATATGTTGAGAGGGACAGCCGCCAAACAACTAGTGCAACAAATTAGATATCTCAATTATTTTCATGTTATGCTCAATCAATCAGTGACATATTTCTTGCATCTCAGACATTGATAAACACCTGTTACTTCTCATGCAAGAGTCATATGTGTTCATGTTTTTCTAATGGTGTACTTGGTGATTGGTACCATGAAAATGTGAAGGTGGAAAATGGAGGAGTGAAAATTAATGCAACCCTCATTTTATTTCCTCCATTTTTCATCTAGCTTCCAAATTTTCACTCTTGCCAAGTATAACCAAAGTCAACAAAGCACCCTGATATTATAGCTGCCAATCAAATAAAATCATCATTCCTTGTTTCATATTTTTTCATATTATCTTCAGTACTGATGTTGTGCCCTTAGATTCACTTCATAATTCAATAATGTTTCTTTATACATGGAAGATGCATATACTTAAATAGAAAATATATTTAATTTCATATGCTTCATTGCAGTTCGTGGTCTCAGACACAAGAGAAGTTAAGGACAGTTTCCGCATTACTAAGTGAAAGCTCAACTCAAAAAAACTTATGCATATACAAACATAAGTGGAAGGTCTAATATTTGATCGAGGCATACAGACAAGTACACAGAGATAGAACTGAAAGGCAAAGGAGATTTAGAGATAGCTGCACATTAACAACTTCTCATTCTTTGCATTGTATATGGTTGTTCTGTTATGTATACTTTAGACAATAAGTTCTTGTAACTTCAAAACTTGTATTATACTTGTCCAAGTCTCAATGGAAGTTATTTTAATGATATTTGGTATTTATTCGATTGGTTTTTGTTAGTTTCAGCTAACATAAGCATTAAGCATATGAAGTTATGCCCATTGTTGTCAAAAACTAGTCTAAGAACGTAAAAAAACGTGGGAACGGTATAAAAGCAGGTAAAAATGTGTTAAAACATAACTAGAAATGGTCTTTAGTAGAAACGGGTAAAAACGTCACGTAAAAACGTAAAAAAGATAAAAACGTAAGTTTTTACGTTTTTTACCGTTTTTACTTAAACTCAATTTCTTTATTTTTTATTTTTTAAAAAACTTATTTTTTATTTTTTTAAATTCAATTTTCTCTTTTAATGTTTTTGGACTTGTATCTTATATAGTTATGTGACTTATATTTTTTAAATATGAAGTTATATATTAAATTTTGAGTAGTGACTTATGTGGAAAATAATTTACATGCATATATATATAATTTTGTATCTTGACCTTAAATAGTAAAAACTTTACGTTTCGTTTCTACAATTTACGTTTCTACCACCCTTTCCGTTTCTACGTAAAAACTTGATTTTGACTATATTGGTTACAACAGTGAGCCATATTATTTCTATCCCCACAAATTGATGTTTAAAAGTTTTAAAGGATTAACATCATATCTTGGAAATCTCTTAAAAACCAATTTGAAATTTTGAATATTTACTCATTTAAATAATATCAATTTTACCAAAATCATTTTTCATTTAAAGGTTTTCAAACATAAATAACAGTTCATCCGTCATGTAAGATTAATTTCGAGAAAAATCAAAATTGCAAAATTAAATTAGTTTAAAATCAAATTTACAAAATCTGATATTAAAAAATGTAAAATCTAATTACAATAGACACTAATGCTTCCAACTACTTCGTCGAGTTACAAAATCACATAAATAAATAAAGGGATATTGGATCATCATTTTAGCTATCAATGCTTAAACTTTCCCCTCCTATTTTGTTACCAGGCCTCTCTTCCATTTGGGCTTGGGCTTGTGGTCCTTATCAATTTGTGGTCATTACCAGCCCTTTTCTCCTTTGAATTTTTTCTGGATCTTATTGGTGGAGGTTGGCGAATATTATGTTTTTAATATATTCCCCTGCTCTTGCATTATTTTCCAGTTTCAACTTTCAAATAGATAATCTCAATTTCGTTTCTTATACACATTAACACTAAATTGCAAAAATGCAATATTCTTAAAATATTAGTATATGTTAATGCTTAAGGTTGCTGTTGGAGCTTCTTTGCCAGCTATTGATTGCTTAATGCTTCTCTTTTTAGACTTGTAAAAGCCCAATTTTAAAAAGTTTTCGTAGAAAATCAATTTGACAGAAATATCAGAGTACTAAAAATTGATAATGGAGGAGAATTTAATTTCAACAAAATTCTATTAATTTTGTGTGAAAAGTGTGATCGAAAGAAAGAAGACAACATACTATTCACCTCAGAAAAATAATATAGCAGAGACAAATCTATTTTTCACCGAAAAAGCACAGAGTATGTTGCATGTTTTAGGGGAATTTTTTTTAACACTACGAGTGTACCAAACTTGGGTGTGTACCAAACTCAGTACACCCGTTTATTAAAACAGATAATTCTTTTTTTATTTTAACTCTTGTTTTTTTTTTATATATTTCTCTTTATATTCCAAAAAAATTTCCCATTTAATAAAAATGTAGGTACACCAAATGTACCGAAAGTTTGCTCTATTTTAGGTTTGATCGCTAGTTTTGGTCAGAGATACTGATCAGTGATCACTACTAGTTATATGAACAACATGTCTTTGAAGAATAACACTACATTTGAAGCATTATTCGGGAAGAGACCCGGCATATTTATATCAGGGTGTTTGGAAAAGAAGCAAATCAGATAAATATATTTCTATCGGTACAACAACGACGAGAGTGAATTCTCTCATGTGAAAAAGTGGTTATGTGATCATGTTATTTGATTACAATCATTTATTTAAAAACTATGCATTTTTCTCTCTCTTATCTCATCATCTCATCATCAATGAGTGGTTGTGATCAAATAACAATCACATGACCACTTTTTCACATGAGATGATCCGCTTCCAACAACAACTGTATCAAAGTGTAAAAGCTACGGAATCCAGATACTCAAAATATACTCATGTTTTCGTAGCAGATGCTTCAGTTCATTAACTAAGGGAGGCATATTTAAACAGGCCAAAGAAAAAACTTTAAATACATCACACCTTATTTTTTGCAAATCAGATGTATACAACATTTAATTTACATATTGCTTATATGTTGTAATGAAATTATAACGTGAAACAATATTACATTAATGTTTTGCTTGATTTTATACTTCACCATCACCGACATGTTGGCATAATCTTCGGTGCTTGATCCAAATTAAGGAATTTTTATTTTCTTGACGTACCTTTCATTTTTATTTATTTATTTTGAAGTTACTCATGTCTGTCTGACTTTTTATTTTGCTTTAGATAATCTTTAAATAGTGCTCAGTTAAGATTCATAAAACGTAAAATATTTTATTATTATATATATGGGTTAATGTATTTTTTGCAAACTAAAGATAATTTAATCTCTTGAGAAGGTCACGTGAGATGAGCCTTTTTTCGTTAACGATAGGTGTAAGTAAAAGTACAGAGATATATGCAGCTAAGGCATCCTAGGCTGATAGACTTGAACCTTGTTCATACACGACTCGCTCCATTTCATCATGCACTTGTCATTTATTTTCACTGTTCAACTCTTTGACAATATAAAAAAACCAAAAACTCTACCTTCTTCTTGATCTATGCACTCATATGAAAGTGGGGGGACTTTCAGTGGCAGACCCAAAAAATTATATGATAGAAGGCGAAAATTTATATTACTATTATGAAAAGATAATGTTAGTTTTAGTTGGATGATCCCGCTAAGAATACAAAAATACCTATTAAGAAAAACCTAATAAAATTACATAATTTTTTGCCAATTTCTGGTTAGAATGTCAATTTTTTTGTTTCCAGTGACAGTGGTCCAATGCACTCTTTATTTCATTGAGGAACTAGCCTTTAAGACCCTATATTTTGTTTGTAAGATCAACTTTTTATTGTTTACCTTCATGGTGTTATAATTGCACTTTCTTTGATTTCTTTAGAATTTTATTTTCTCCATTAGCTGTTATTCAGCAGAAGACACAATAAATTAATTAATGTGTTATTTATTTTTAGCATTTGGTCCCAACTAATAATTGATAACTATTACTCACCTTTTTTCTTTGCCAACAAAGTCAAAACTTAAATACTCTTCTCCTAAGTTTTGACATGACAATCTGTACAAAATTTTAATAATTATAAAAAGAAAATTAGATAATCAATCAATATAAAATCAAATTCTACAAAATTTTGACAGATAGAGTGAATATGCATTACTAACTGAACTCTTCTTTATATACAACGAAAAAACCAACTTTTCACATTGATTGGAGATGGTAGCCGACCAAGAACAAAATCTGCCACATATGGTGGCAGGTTGAATCTGGTAAATAATAGTTATCTCTAATTGGGTGCAATGAACGGTGTAACACTTTTCTTATGAATAACATCGCTTGTCTTTCACTATTTAAAGCACTTTTAAAATTTGTCTTTTTTAAACCATGTTGCATATCATATAGTAAAACATATTTTCATATTTTAGAGGGGAGCGGGGGCCACCCTAACCCCCATGTAGGTCCGCCCCTGGCTCTATTAAAAGAGGAAAGAGAAAAAAAAATATCAATAGCATTCATATGACACAAAATTATCCCCATATTACATAAGAAATATTATTCCCAACAACCAATGCTATCTAATATTTTTATCAAATAATTATAGCACTATATGAATGAAACAATAATGGAATAACGAAACCAATATATTTTTAACATTTTTCTTTTTAATAAATTATTTATTATTGAATGAGATATTATGTATGCCGAGAAAGCTCAACTCATTTAATAGACTCTCAATATGACATTTTATCTTATAATTAAGAAAATATTCAAATGAAAATGTTAAAAAGTATGTTATCTTCAACAACAAAATACTACATAAGTACGCCCCAATATCTCTCTCAATGCAAAGACACATGTAATTTACATTAGTTTATAAGTAAGAAAACAAAGTCAAGTTTGTTGGGGTGAGGTGATTCATGTGAGCCAACAATAACATAAATTGTTGCTTTCTACCAAATCATATTAACTATGTTGCACTTTCCGAATCTTCTCTGACTTTTTTATAAAATAATTTCACTTTAACATTTCTGCTCCACCAGGTGGCCATCACTCAGCCGTTTAATTAAATTTAAAACTGATTTGTACATGTTAGACCAGTAATGTTGTGCCATGTACCAGAAATAGAGACCTCATATGTTGGCTTTAAAAGTATATATTCACGTTTTCGAGAAGGAATGTCCAAATGCATTGCTCTCCTATAGAGCTATCTGTGTATTATTTAAATATCGTAATCTAAATCAAGTCAGCTATTTGGAACTTACTTTGAACTAAATTGTTACTGATCAATATTGAGTTACGAGTAGCCCAATCAGTGTATACACTTTAAACAAATTGAAAGGGCATTGGCCACCCTCGTGATAGCTACTTTAAATCAAGCTCTAGAGGCATTATTAGTGTTAATTCCAACCACCTCATTCTAATTCTTAAACCTTTAGTTACAGAAACTTTGAAATATGCTTAAGTCATAAGTGTTAGAAGTCAAGACATACGGTAGCTATTGGAGCTTCCTTCAAGTCATAAATTCAATATTTATTCAAATTATTCCACATAGCTACAATACTAAACTATCAGGTGGGTTCCAGGCCAAGCCCGAGAACAATCACCAATGAACTAAGGATATTCATATTAATTAGGTCTATTATCATATTTTAATCCAAAATTTTAAGATATTGGGTTTATGAATCTTCCTATTTATATACTATTTACTTAATCCATTATCAACTAATGTGAGACTCATCACACTTGAATATTTTAACAATTTTTTCCTTAAGTGTGAAACCCACATTAGTATGCTCCCCCCAACCGAGTATTACTCCAGGTCCAAGTACTCAACTCGCCTCCTAGTTAGTCACCAGGTTAGCTCGAGCCCAACCCAGCTCTAATACCATTGTCAAGCGAGTCTAAAGAGAGGCCATGGTAAGTGACAATCACCAATGGGCTAAGCTAGAGCAACCACAACAAGTGGATTCGACATCATCTCTCAATCCAAAATCTTAAGGCATTGATTTCATGGATCCTTCAACTTATATGGACTTTACTTAACTCATTATCAACCAATGTGGGAATCGTAACATTTGAATATCCCAACAATCACTTCCTTAAGTGTGAAATCCAACATTGATATGTTCCCCCCTCAAGTGAGTATTCAGGCCCAAAGTATTCAATCCGCCGCTAGCCAATGACCAAGTTAACCCGAGCCCAACCTGACTCTGATACCAAATGCTAAAAATCGACAATCACACAAATCGAAAAAATAAAAGAAAAGGGAAAGAGATTTGACACAATAATTTATCATGATTCACCCAAAGTAAGCTATGTTCTGTACTATATTCACTTCACCATCATTTGTTACAAGTGTGATGAGTCAAACATTGATATTATCTAAATATTCCAAACTTGAATATTCCAAACTCACTTTTGACACAAACTAAAGTATTATTTCTTCTAAATATTCTCCTCATAATATCAACCACGCAGGGATTAAGAAAAGTCACGGAAGATGCAGGAGAAGAAATGAATAGATCAGATTCAATGAATCAATTTATATATTTAGGGTGCTTGGTTGCTAAATAACAAAATAATGTTATATTATATCTTTCTTTTTTGTATACAATGTTATATTATATCTAACTTCGAAATAAATTTATTAAGAGGTACATAGCACTCCCAGATGTATGTATAAATTCTAATGAAATATTGTAATTGTTTTTTTGGGAGTATGGAATATAGTAAATTATACTTCACCTACTTTTCTGTAATTTGTATACTACAGAATTACAGACTAGAGTTTTTTTTATCAGTTTTCAAATAATATCATACACATGCAATCACTGTAATTTAGTACAAATCAAGAACTTTTAAGTTTTGAATGGGAGAAGATTATATTTACAAACTTTTTATTTACAAATTATATTATGTATGACCAGTCATATACTAATCATACTTAATGTATATGACTGACTGATCATACTTAATGTAATTTATAAAAAAAATTATAAACGAATCATTATGACTATATTATATAAAAGATTATTTTCACGATATTCTTACTTTTTAATATCTCTCCCATTTCTAGGGAAACGCATTGTTCCCTTGTAGAAGACCTAGGTGGTAATGATGGAAGATTAAAGTAGGAGTTATAAATGTTTTCGCTCGGTTACTTTAATCAAAGGTTTGATGCTTGCAGGCTGCAGCCGACCACTATCAATCAATTGTTTGTTAATTAATCTTTGTAAATAGAGAGGTAATGGGGAAGTCAATAATAGAATCCTGTGGTCCCAAAACAAAACATTAAAATACAATCCTAAAACTAAGAAACATTTATATGAAATTAGGTAACATTGCATCTTTTTCTTTCCTGTAATTTCTTAAGAGTTTCTAAATAAATAAACATATGTGGAGTTAGTTATATTGACGTGATTCTTGTGAGCTAACAATAACAAAAAATGTTGCTTGTACAATCAAATTAAGTATCTCTCTCACACACACCCTCCCTAGTCCCTATCTTATTTGTGCTTTAATTATATTGCTTTTTTACATTTCATCTGATTTTCAATTTAATGAATTTATTTCATCATTTCTCATGCTGCCAAGTGGACACAAATCAACTTTTCTTTATTGGTTTAGCTAGTAATGTTGTGAAATGAAGCAGAAGTAGAGATGTTTTTTCCAATGGACTAAGCAGATATTCATGTTTCAAGATAAAGAAGGGGGATGTATGACCATGAGGCTAACCACTCCAAGTCGATTATTTTGCATTGTAAAATTTGTAATACCCGAAACCACGAAATTATTTAATCGAGCATAGTTCCTTCTTTAAAATCCAACCGAAACTTTGAAAATAAAATAAAATGAAAAACATTTTCTAATGTTAAACGAGAATTCAATTCTCATGTTGTGATCTTTTGATTTGCGTGTAATTTATTTTTCTTTTTTTTTTAATAAATGTATGGCCTAATACTAAGTGTCCGTTAGATGGGCTTTTATTACTAAAAAAAGCTGCTTTTTTTTTTAAAATAAAAGTTTTTTTTTGAGAATTTTTAGATATTTGAATGATAATTTTTTAAAAAAGCAAAATTTAAAATAAAATTTAAAATATTACTTTTTTTATAGCCAGTAGTTGGTTGCTTTTGAAAAAAAACAGAAATTAAAAGATAATATAATTTTATTTTTTTTGAAAAAAGATTATATAAATTTTTAAAATATAATTTTAACCTTATCCTATCATATCTATTTTATCTCTCTTTATCCTATGATCAAACTATTTTATCTCTCTTTTATTGTAATTTTATATATAAAAAGTATTTTTTTATTTTAACATCCAAACAATTTTTTTATGTAAAAGTGATTTTCAGATCGTACATTCAAACGTAAAATAATTTTACCTTTTAAAAAAAGTTATTTTAAAAAAAAAATGCATAAAAAGTCAATATTTTAAAAGCTAATTCAAACGGGCTCTAATTAATTCACAACGTGAGAAAATTCTTATCCTAGAAAATCAAATCCCAAAATAAAATTGAGGTTTTACTCGGGAAAGGGTACAACGGTACTAGGGAATCTCTCATGTAGGATTCGGTGAATTTCAAACATTATCAGTTTATCACTAGCATTGGTTGGCGGTTTTTAAGACATGATCCTTAATCATATTCAATGACTTATCATGTGCTAACTTTTTTTTTAATACATGATTAAACTTGCTACCTTCTATTAATTTAAAATTATCATTAAAATACACTCTTTTAAAACGGTTTAATTTTTTAGTCCACTCTTCTTAAAAAATTACACAATAAATTTAAATCTATTTTATTTTAAATTTTAAATTCCACTAATTATGATATTTTTTATAATTTAGATATTTTTCTTTTAATTTATATTTTTTAAATTTTACTTAAATTACCAAGCATATTTTTTATGAATTAAAAAAATATGTTAATTTTTAGTTTTATCTTATTTTTTAATAATTCATATAAATATGGGGATATGATTATTTTATTTTTTTAGGTAATCTAGGATATGACTATTTTATATAGGTGTAAGTTACACTTTTATTTTTAGTCATTAATTACACTTATATCTAACATAACACATTACTAATAAAATAAAAGCAGTTAGATACAAATATATCAATGTTAAAGATTATGTACATAAATGGCTGAAAAAAAAGGTATGTATAAAACTTGTTATTATACCATTATAAAATGGTCCACCCCTTTTAATGACATACAAATACAACAGTATAAAAAAAAAAAATTTAAACGTCAAATTTAAAATCTATTTTCAAAATCAGATAAATTTTAAAAGATCAAGTTCAAAATATGAAATTAATTATGCAATTATTGTTGCAATTAATGATTATAAAATTAAAAATAAGAACACTTTCAAAAACAAAAGACAAGTTATAGAAACTAGGGGTGTTCATCAACCGATCCAAACCGATTCAAACCGCGGTGACCGAACCGAAAAACCGATAACCGAATAAACGGAAAATCGAAAAATCGAAAATCGAAAAAAAACCGCAAATTTTAATTGGATCGGATTTTGGATGGGATGATGAAAACCGATCGAATCCAAACCGATCCAATATATTAATTTCCCTCTACCTAATTGGGTTTTTTTTCAATTATAGTTCAAAAATTTCTAAATCAAAGACCCGTTAACTCATCAACTAAACCTAAAAAAAATCTAGTCACATCTTATCAACAAAAATTTATTTTTGTAGAGCTTCGTTTCATTGCCCAAAAAAACCTATATTATAGTTTACTAATGCTTTTGTATTTCAAATTTTTTTTTACAAAACCAATATATATAAAAGATGTGATTTCCATAATAATCATGAACTAAATTTTAGGATTTTCAAAAAACCGAAAATCGATCCAATCCAAACCGAAAAAAATTGGATCGGATTTGAAAAAAAATTCAAACCGAATGGATGATTATATGATCAAACCGAAGGAATTGAATCGGATGATTTTTGCTTTCAAAACCGATTCAATCCAGACCGCGAACACCCTATAAACCAGCAGATCTTGAATCTTGATTGGCAAGCAGAGTGCTTTTGACATTTTCCATTTTGAGCATGTGGCAGGCTTTCATTGGTTGAATAAAAAAAACAGCCACAACAAAAAAGCCCCAAAGATCTCAAACATTACAACATTACAAAAGGGAACATTGGTCCTTAAGAAATGATACCCACAAACAACATCAACAACTCTATAGTCAAGGTAGCCGTTGCACCTCTCTTCCTTGTTCCTATTCCCCCACTTACGTTGTACTATTAATTTAACACTGTTATTTCCCTTCTCACAAGGAACCCCTCTCTCTCCCCCTTCACTCTTTGATTTCTTTTCATATCTTCCATAACTCCTCTCTTTCAACAACCCCTTTTGTTTCCTTCAAAGAACCAATGAATTCCCTTGTTTCAAAAACCAAACTTTGTGCTTCAATGGATTCAAAAACCAAACTTTCTACTACTCCATCTTTGTCCGCTGCAGCTTCAGCTTCAAGTCCTAGCAGCAGTGGCTGTAGCTGTAGCAGCAGCAGTGAGACTGATGATAGCCCCCTCTCTTCTCAACGGTTCGAACTCCATAATTTCAAGTTTCCTGTTTCTGGGTTCCATTCTCATCGACCATTGGCTGTTCTTTCAGGTCATGTTGGGTCTGTTTCTTGTTTGGCCTTGTGTGGAGAGTTCATATTAAGTGCCTCACAGGGAAAGGATATCATAGTGTGGCAACAACCAGATTTGAGGGTGTTTGCAAAGTTTGGCCAAGGTGATGGTTCGGTGAAAGCCCTTGTAAGTGTTGGCAACAAGGTTTTTACAGCACATCAAGATAGCAGGATCAGGGTTTGGAAGGTGTCAAGGAGTTCAGAGAATGTGTTCAAGCTTGTTGACACCTTGCCCACCACCAAGGACTATTTGGGGAAGTTCATGAAGCAGAGCAACTATGTCCAGACTCGGAGGCACCATAAGCGTTTGTGGATTGAGCATGCAGATAGCATTTCTTGCTTGGCTGTTTATAATGGTTTGATTTATTCTGGGTCGTGGGATAAGACCCTTAAAGTGTGGAGGCTCTCGGATTTGAAGTGTTTGGAGTCTATTAAGGCTCATGATGATGCCATTAATGGGTTGGTAGCATGTAAAGGGATTGTGTATTCTGCTTCTGCTGATGGGAAGATTAAAGCTTGGGGAAAGGTTGGGAAGAACTCACATTGTTTAAAAGGAGTTCTGGAGGGTCACAAAGATGTTTCCTTTAATTCTGTAGTTGTTTCTGATGATGGCAAATGGATTTATGGAGGGGGTTCGGATGGTTTTATTATGGGGTGGGAGGAAAGTGGGAATTTTGAGAGTTGGAAGCTTGTTTCTGAAACCAAGGCACATGGAATGGCTGTTTTGTGTATGTGCCTAATGGGGGAGTTTTTGTTCAGTGGCTCAGCTGATAGAACCATAGGTATTTGGAAGAGAGAGGCTTTTGGTAAGCTTTGTAAAGTTGGGATCATAAGTGGCCATGAAGGGCCAGTGAAGTGTTTGCAAGCCTCATCTAATAGAATTGGTGGTGGCTTTTTACTATATAGTGGAAGCCTTGACAGAAGCGTGAGAGTTTGGTGGGTTCCAAGGTATAATAATAATGCAGAAGTAGAGGACAACTCTACAACACTTAGCACTCTCAATGAATCCATCATTTCATGTTAGGAACATGTTGAAGGCTGAGTAATGAAGCACAGGAACTCTTTTTAAACAGTGTCTGCTGCTTCTTTCTTGATTTATTTTCTGCATGGAATTTGTGCAAGGTTGCAGAAACACTGAAATGAGGAGTTACTGCAGATTCAAACAGCTAAGAGAACGGCAAAATTGAAGCTTTTATTTGTGTCTTGAAATTGCTGTTTTGCTTTTCGGTTTGCACTTGGTGTTTATTTTTTTCTGAGAGTTGTTTGTAGAATTTTAGGGTGAAAGTAGGGGAGCTTGGTTTAATTTTGTTGTTGTTTTCGAAGTGAAGAAATTTGGGGGATATAGCAGAGTGGTGTGATTATACTTTTTTTTTTTAAATTCATTTTTATATTTCTTTACAATTGTAACTATGCCTATAAAGGATTCAATCAATGGAAATAAATTATGTTCTTTTGTTGGTTGCATGATTATGTCGCATCCATTTGTGGCTTAAAGGACATATAACCTTTTCTAAGTGCATGCTTAGTTGCATCCATTTGCTGAATGGACATATCACCACTAAAAGGACTACAGAACATTGCAATTTGTTACCTAGGCGCATTGAAAAGATTACTGTCTACAAAAGTCATATAAGCTCTTCAGCAGCCAAAACAAATGAAGCAAACAACCAACCAACCAAACCAAAACTCTAAAGAAAAGAAAAAGATTCTCGGGACAAACAACTTTGTTATCACTTTGAGTCAAGGAATCTCTTCCTGTGTTCTATTATGATATGATGTATTTCTGATATATTAGTCAGTCATTGGTTTCGATGTGTAAATCAGCATATTCATTTTGCTTGCTATTTTGTTAGTGGAGACAAATGTAACTGTGCAAGTATTAGGGTGTTCAAAGGCTTGAAGCCAAATAAGGTCAAAACAATAAGATAGGGTAGAAAGGCCCTATGCTTTATCTCTGTAAGTTGCATCAGGCATCTTTCAAGTGCTTCTGACTATGGTTGCTATTATTCTTGCTTTTGAGCTTGTAGATAATGTCCAGTATTCAAAAGAACTACGTGATCAAAGCAAGGATTACCAAAACTTGTGACATTCCTACATGGAAACTAGCAACTGGACATAGAGAAGCAAAGGGGAAAAACAATGAAGAAATGAAAAACCAATAACAAACGCCAATGGGAAACTAGTAATGACGCTTTAAATTCAGCTTTCTGATTCTTTCAAAAATACACACATAACTTAGTCAACAAGTTTTTTTTTTTTTTAATGGCTATATTTCACCCCAACTAGTTTGGGATAAAAATGAGGTTGATGCTGTTAATGTAATATTACTATTATATATATTCCTATATATTCTTGAGTTTTAATAGAGTGAGATCATTTGTGTCTAAATTTTAGAATGATCTTTATGTTTTTCCACCGTCCATTTGGTACAAAAGAAACTGAAAAGCAGCTATGTTTATTCTGTTGGACCACAGCAAGTCTTTGAAAGCAGGAAAGTCATTGCTTTAGATTATCTAAAAAGCCAACATTCATTATCCAGCAAGCGGGACAACCTAGTTTCTTTAGCTCTCCTGAAGCAATATTTTGTTCGCTGGTTTTGGACCACATTAAAAAACCATATAAACCAGTATATTCCATTCATGTAAAAGAAGGAAGAGTCCTATAAAGTTAACAACAAAAATGAGGAGCGTTTGTTTCTTCCCCTTTGCTATTCTTAAGATATTCAAAAGATGCTACCCTATTATTTGTACCAACCTTTGCTTTTTGAGAGAGGTAGAAGAATAATGCAAGTCTTGAGAGCCATGTGAAACAAATCAAGTAATCATTTTAAGCTAACAATAGAAAACTTGAAAGTAATGTAGGTGCAGCCAACCTGCGGAAAAATTAGAAAGTCACTGAATTTAAAATATCTGAAGCAACAAGGTATTTGGAAAAGTAACAATTTTAAATGATGGTTAGGTTGGTCTTTTTAAACTGCAGTTTTGGTATTAAAATAAGATTTCTGAATTCTTACACTAAGAACATGTTTCAACTAAAACTTCAAAGTGGAAGAACACCAAACATGATAGAAAGGGAAAGGGACACCCCAAAAAGTATAGATATATTATAGTTCTAAATTTGGCGTGCATGCTTTCTTCTTGTGCCCGAATGGCTCTCTTGCTTGAGAAACTCAACTAACTATTGATCTTTCTTCTGTTCATGGGAAAAGGGACACAATTAAGCAGCCAGAAAAATTTAACCACCAAAACCTAACCAATTTTGATAACTCCGATAAAGACCACTTTTCTATTCATGAGGCAATAACGGCAACAATTCAATCTGGCATAAAATTTCTATGCAACAATATTCGATAACTTCAAATTACCATAAACCGTTGAAAATTTGATAAAAACTTACTGATTCTTTATAAAGTGTCCACTAATACAATTCTTTTGTCAATTTTCACCGATTTTAAGCGATTGAACGTAATGATTTGAAGGACTGGGCTAACGTCCCTTTTAACAAGCCTAGAGGAAAATTCAAGACTCAAACAGAATAGAACATTATTTATTTGTTTTAAATCCTTCAATATTTAGCACTAAATCAACAAGAAACAAATCAAAGCTGATGCTTAATAGCTTTAGATTCCAATCTTCGCAAGCTAGTGTGACTTCATAATAAGCAGCATTTCTTATAAGTCTTTCACTGTGCCATAAATACATATCCATGTCCTAAACTAGGACCCATCAAAACTTTTTCAGTTCCAGATAACAAGAAAAAGAATGTTACAACAATTACTCGTATCACATCCAAGATTGGAAGGACCATTCAAGACAACTTAGCAATATGAGCCCTGAGCCATGGATATTGAGTTTGACCAGCTGCTAAATAATCACTCACATCTTCTCCATGCAATACATTAATCAACAGTATACTCTTTCTTATAAGGAATAGAGTTTTTTTTTTTTTTTTTTTTTTTTTTCTCAGGTGCAAAAAAGGGAGTAGATATCAACAAAACATGTTTATGTTCACATCTGTTTGTAGAATAGGACGTAAGCCTGATCATGCAGCACCTGATTTTCTCCAATAGCAAATACAGATTGATCATTAAATCGTAGCCATCGACCATTGGGGTATTGGGCATCAGCTGTGTAATGCCCCTTAGAAGGCTCCACTCCATGGTGAGTAATTGTAGCAACAAGTTCATATTTTCGACCCTGCAGAAGCATAAAATCAATCAGCCACTATGCTTCTTCCAATTACCATTAATACTCCAGAGTCCTAGTTAATTATAGAATTCTGGAGGACAGTGAAAGATAACATTATCACATTGGCTCTCACAAAAGCATTTTAGGTTTTTCCCCATGGAAGTTTGATCGGAAAAAATTTACTAGTCATTACTCATTAGTCTAAGGAAGCATCCGAAGCAGCTTTCAAAAATCACTAAAGGTAAATAAATACTCTCTTAACAAAGAACTGCATGCAGCCTGAAGTTATTTTCATGGTATTCAGTTGAAACATTTACTTACAAACAGCAGTAAAGCACTAGAATTTACTTTTTATGATAAGAAAAGAGAAGTGCACCAGAAAATTAGCCATCCATCCATATTCTTGTATCTTTAATTAGATACTTTCAGAGTAAAAGGGAGAGAAAAGTACTAATTAGCAGTCTCCCATAGGCAACTATCACAATGATGTATCACACATTATTAAAAACAAAGATTCCCTAAGTTGATTTTATTTTTTGCGATCCCTAAAAGCAATCTTAATAGGATAAAAAGAAAGAAGTAATCTTAGAAGTAAGAGAAACAAATTCATAATAAAAAACCCTTGACAGCTCTAGTCATGTAAAGTCAATACCCTTTAGAGAGAGAGAGAGAGAGAGAGAGAGAGAGAGAGAAGTGCATCATTGAGAATAGAGTAGTTGCATAGCATTCTAGTTACCAGAAAGAGCAATTATCATTTCTCATCACGATCCTTAATACAACTAATTTATGTTCAAAACAAAGGGACTGGGATATAGAGATATTTTACATCACCTCAGTAGATAGTGAAACGAGTAAGTCTCGACCCAATACCAACACAAGAGGAAAGTGCACAGGCTTACGCAACTTAGTGCTTCCCTGGTCTCCATAACTAAAACGCATCAAGTGCAATATCATTATTTTTGGAAGTGTCTGAATTTGTACAGATTTTCTTGCAGTAACAACACCAGTCTGAAAGAAATTTAAAATTGTTAATATTTTAATAGCAGTAGTAGAAAACATTATCCAACACAGTCAAAGCCCATCATTATCCAGCACAAAAGGGTAATTACATTTCCAGTGTGTGACGTTCGGTACCCTTCAAGAGTTTCTGGTGCAGAAAACAGATGAAGTGCATCCTCAATAGTGTTGACAGCATCAGGAAAAATGTCAAGATGGAGCAAGAGATATGGTTGAACAGTGGCAGAAGCTCTATTTCCTGAAGGACAGGAAAAAATAAATCATGATTACGGCAAAATGTATTTTTTTATATACTTTCCATTTTTCTCTTTCGAGTTTTATTATCAATAATGATTATGAAGGTGGATGGTGGCAAGAGCAAAAAGTAAAAAGAAAGTAAGAGTTCAGAATCACAACTATACAGCATTATGCAACAGATAGACCAGATGAAGATCCACAAAACCTTAATGGACCTGACAGACACTAAAAAAACGAATTCCTCCACTAACCATGAGAGATTAAAATTTTGTACCTTTAGCTCTCACCAAACTTCTGAGTTGTCCTCCAAAAATACCAGTTAATTTTGATGGAACAAAGCTTTGAGTCCTTGTCACAGCAGATTTATTCTTTGGCCCCACTGTTTCCCATTCATCATCTTCCACAGAAGAAACTAGAGATGATTTGCTACCATTAAGACTTGAAGACTGTCCTTCAAACTTAAGTAATTCATCATGCATTTGATCCATTACAAAGCTCAGAAATTCCTGAGCATCTTCCTGCCTGAAAGTGATATGTCGATACCAAGTACATCATAAGAAAGTTTATATTACAGAACAAATTACATCATACTTTGGTATGTTATTGCATTACACAGTTTTCAAATCACCAAATAACTACCTGAATTGGGTCTACAAAATCTGGAACACATTGGTTCCCTGGTAAAGTTGTTTAAATAAAGGAATATATACGAGAAAAGTTGAAAACACAATTGAGGAGGAGGATTGAGAAGAAAAGCTATTGAAATTTTAATCTATAAATGTAAACTCGCTAGGAAAAAAAGCTTTCTGAAGATTGTATCTCTCCATGTAAAACAAATTATGAACAAGTGTCTCTATAGGCCTGATAAAGATTATAAACATAAACATTTCTCAATTTTTTTTGGCATTCAAACTGTGCTTTTAACATATGATTACAGGTTAAAATGGTCTCATGCATGTCCATACAAAACAAACCAACTACCATGGGCATAGCTCTTCATGACATGACCAAGTACAGTCTATTAGTTAGCCAGAAATTAAAGTGATTCAACTAAAGAAATGGCTAAGGAAGAATTTTATTTGGAAATTTTTTTATTGGGGGCGGGGAGGGGGCAGAGGAGAGTAACACAACAAACAAACAAAAATAAAAACCACATTCTAACCAACCTTGGTCTTCCTGAAATGCTATTTGGCACATCCGGAGTAAAATTTTTTAGAACACCTTCAAACATAACAGGGCAAAATGGCCTTCCAGACTCGAAAGTATCTGTATCTTTCTTTGTTAATGTTGTTGCGCTTGACATGTCAAATTGAGTTATAAACTCAGCAAACGCCGTCAATGTGGGAAAGCCAACCTAATAAATTACAGAGTAATAAGCATCCAAAAATATCAGTTCAACATTATCTTTCTGGTTACAAGGGAAGTCTAAATGCATAGACATAAGAGTATCAGTTCGCAAAATTATATACCGAAGATATTTCTTAATTCATGCTGTCAACAAGTTAAGTTCGAACCCTCAGAACGCAGTATTAGTTGATATGCAGCAGCAAACAAACTAACCTTAGGAATGCTGCGAGTTCTTAATTCCTGCAAAAGATGAATGAAAGGAGAACAAGACAAGAGAGCCTGCAATGTTGCATTAAGAAAGCACAGATTCCCAGAGTTAAAAAGGCCTCGCGGCAGTAGATCCTTAACATGCATAACAACATGGCCATTAGGTGCCTTTCTGGAGTTTTGATCGGGTAATTTTGATGAAGAATCATCAGCGGTGCCAGTTTTAAGTACATGCTGCAAGCTTTCAGCCTCAGAAGCATCCAGGCTCAAATTTGTGAACTTGTTCGAGGGACCATCTTCGTCGAGAAATGTAACAGAAGACACATTATCTTCTTTTACACCAATGATACTAGAGGGACTAAGGGAGAAATTGGTAATGCTGCCATTCTCTTTTAGAGTTTCTGATCCTCCAGGTAAATTATCACTTACACTGACACTGTTCACTCCATTACATTTTTGAGAATCAGAAGGAGGAGCACTATTTGGCGCTTTTGATGAATTTAGCAGGTTGCTTGATTCAACAGTAACAGAATTCAAAGAACCGAATTGCAGCTGATTCTTCTCCACGGGCTTTTCACTTCTCCCAGAAGACTGCTTTAGCAGCAATGATCTGGTTTCATCTTCTGTAAATGAACCAAATATTACCACCTGCTAACCATTGGCGCATAAACCCAAAAAATATTAAGAATTTCAACAAATAATAAATTTAAAAAATAAATAAATCTAAATATGGCCTATAAAACAAGGGATAGAATATTGTTACTACCAAACAATTTACTACCAATAATAATGTTACTACCAATGTTACTACCGCGTCTTAACCGTTGATTTTCGCCAATCAACGAATTAATAATTAAGCTTGATTTGTGGAAATAATAGCAATCGATTGGTGGAAATCAATAACATTGGTAGTAACATTATTGATTGGTAGTAACATTTTTTGGTAGCAACAATATAAGCAATTCACAACCATTTTGAACAAAGTAAAGCAAAAAGTAGCAAACACCCAACAATCTATACTGAAGCAGATTAAAAGGGACAGAAAAATAAAAACATGACATTGCACTACATAAGATCAGCAATCCCAAAGAACAAAAAACAGCTAATAAGAAACACCCTTCGGCAAATGTTTGCAATACAATCACTTTGTTGGCGTAATGGTAGTAATGTCGACAATCAAACTAAGCAATTTCCTATTTTATTCACAGAAAGCATTCGCTTCATCTTTGAGAACCAAAGGCACCAAAATTTTATATTAGAAACTTAAAAAGGGGGTAAATTTACAATAATTATAGCCAAAATCCAACCTTAGAATCACTCATGTTGCTTACGATATCGAAGTTGCAAACCCAAAAGCCTGAAATTGAATATTAATTTCCTAGTACAAAAAAGAAGAGAAGGGTTGGGTATAGAGAAGGGATCGAAATCAAAAAGTAGGGTTTTTGGAGACCCTGAAGGAGCAGAGGCAGTAATTGAAGACATGAAAGGGGAAAAGAGAGAGAAGAGGAGAAAGAGAGAGAGCATTTAACAAAGGAACCCTCCCTTTTTGAGCCTTCGTAACACCAAAACGGAGCATCGACAGAGAGAGGAAGAGAATAAGGCTCTGAATTCGATGATGAGACTGTTTAGGATTAGGGTTAGGGTTACGAATGGGATGGTGGTAAGAGCAGAACTGCGTCCCCTGTTCTTCTTGTACTTAGGAGTTGCTAGCTGTACATATCGGCTTTTGTTTTTGTTTTTTTTTGTCCTTTTTTTAATAGCAAATATCTCTAATTTTGTATTGAGATATATTTTCCATTTTTGGAAGAAATTTTTAGTGCAAATAAAATAATACACGCATCAGTTATTTATTTTGTGATGTTATCATCTGAAAAAACGAAAAATTAAATGACAACTAATTAAATAATGTGATATTTTTTATTTATGTGTCACAAAATAAATGAGAAATGTACTATTACATTAAAGATTTATTCGATTTTAAGAATTTGAGTGATCTAATTTCTTACTATACGATATTTAAAATTATTTAAATATTACTCTATAGGGAAATATTATTTTTTTGTTATAGTAAATATTATAACTATGTTCTCCCGAGAGTACACCATTATTTCTTACTAAAGTGAAGACCATATTTTTTTGTCAGGAATAAAAAATAGTATTTACTCTAAATATTTATGTTAGAGCGTTATGAGTGGGGTCCAAAGAATTGTTCAACCTCAGTTACATTCCGCAAAAGGAGTGACAAATAAGGAACAACCGCTGTTGCGTCGGGTCTCGAAATTTGAAGAAGTTTGTGCTTACAATTATATTTTTTTATGCCGCTGTGTGTAAACTATAACATAACCAACCATATACAACAAAATCATCATGATATTTATAATGAAAACCACAATTACAATAATAATAAAAAGTAAATAAAATGGAGTGAGGTGATTCTGGAACTATCGGGACAGCTTTGAATAACGGAACTCTCTAGAGACACACTCTCATCTTTCTCTCACTCACTCACTCCTATATATACATACACATGTAGTCATTCTCTTTCACTGTGTTATTTCTGAGTTCTGAATTCGAAGTTGTTTCATACGCATTCTCTCGACATCTGTGGCGATGGAGGAGGATTTCGAGTTCCCAACTGAGGGTAACATGGAGATGGAAGAGGATAAGATGGAGAGCCCGATTCTCAAGGTTGGGGAGGAGAAGGAGATTGGGAAGAATGGACTCAAAAAGAAGCTGGTCAAGGAGGGTGAAGGATGGGAAACACCTAACACTGGAGACGAAGTTGAAGGTAATGCCATTCTTAATATCTTCCTCCTTTTACGTTATGTAACTTATCTCATTTTCTCTCACTTCGATTTTCGCACCCCACTTTTTTTTTTTTTTCTTTTTTCTTTGTAATGGTGAGACCCATCCATTTTCTCTCTACCACATAAGATAACTACCACGTAAGGAGATTAATAAAACCCATATTTATAACCGATATTTGTACATGACAATATTACTGAAGACCGAGTAGTCATAAAGTTGAAGTAGTCGTAAACTTTATTTTCTTTTTGTAGAGGGGAATGTTGCTTCTGCTGAAGTATCAGTAGTCCTGGAATCTATTCGTGTAAGTTAACAAATGCAGTGTAACCTATCCATTATTCACCTTTTTAATCTTTTTTTGCTTTCCTCCTAGCTCTTGCCTAATAATATTAGTTTTTCCCATAATATTATTACCTTACTTTAGTTTTTGTTATTTGCCTAGGGCGTAAAGGTTAAATGTAGAACAAGAGAGCCTGAATAACAACACGCTAATTAAGAGGTTATTTAATTTTTCCATTTCCTTATTGAAAGGACCAAGTTACGGTAAGGGTACTCTCTCTAGGTTTTCTAATTTGACATTTTGAGGCAGTTGCTACTTGATGTTCCAGGAAACGTTGATATGGTCATATATCCCTATTATGTGAGAAGATCCCAACATAAGTTTAATTAATTGGCACTCATTAAGTCTCAAAAAATGTAATCCAGTTGCTGGTGACAATTTGTACATATAGGGAGAGTTTGGTATAGGTATTTGGTATGGAATGATAGGGAAAGTGAGGTGAAGAATATTTAATTACCATTTTTTGTGTGGGTATCGTGAAAAAAATTTAGCAAATAATTTCCCCAGATATTTTTCTTTTCAACTACACAAAGGAAAATAATTATATGTTAAGTCAAATAATTATTCCATCAATATTTTATCATCAACCAAATATAGTATCAGTAAAATGAACCAAATTTTGCCAGCAAAATTTTGGTCAACCAAACACTTTTTCGTAACTTACTCGGGATAAAAAAATTTCTACCAAATCCTCAACCATTTTTTTTTTGAGGTAAAAAAAAATATTTCTTGTACCAAACACCCCCTTAATAGTTTAAAGAGAAACAGTTCGGCATTGGTAAAATATAATTGTATCAATTATCATCATGCTTTAAAAAATAAGGTACACTTATCCTTTCCCTTTTTTTTTAATTTTTTCTATTAAATTAAGGTTTCTCAATCACTTAAAGGTTTGGTATCCTTGCATTTTCGATTATTGAATTTTGTTTAAATTTATTTAATAACAGCCAAATGATCATTAATATTGTTAATTAGGCAGAAATATTTGATTTACTTGGTTACCAGATTCGGCAGAGGAAATTAAGAATGGGCTGGATATCAATATATGTATGGGCTGGAAGTGGCTCATGTTATAGTTTAGTGCTTAAAATAGTAGCTTGTTTTTGGGCCCTTGGGGATGTTTGGAATCCCATTGAAACCGGTTTTGTCTTTCACTCTATTAAATAGTTCATGTTAAATATTTTTCAAATGCTGCCAACCAAAAAAATAAAAAGTGGTGTGCTGTAGAGGCAATTTCATTTTCATTCAGAATTTGTTGTCTGTACTATATGTTCTGTCTCTATAGTTTGCTTAGAAGTGGTTTCCCTAAAACTAATTGCACCGTGAAATTTGGTCCTCACGGACAAAGCTAACAAAACCTGCTTCATTAGTCTATTTTCCACTAGACAAACATCTTTCTTCATCAACAATTGAAATGTCATTTTTAAGTAAACTCTAGTGTGACAAATTCTGTTTTTTGGTTCTTCATTAGCCAACCTGACCCTCCTCTCTCAAAATTTCTTTGGTGCTACAGATGCACCGTAAATTCGGTGCATCTTCTATTTATATTGTGACACGTGTTTTACTTTTGTCAAATCAATAATAAATAATTTATTTTAAAATTAAGAGAGAGAATGATTTGATATAAAATAAGACACGTGTCACAAAATAAGTGAAAGATGCACCAAATTTTCGATACATCTGTATTAGCAAAGATATTCTCCTCCTCTCTCTTCAATTCACTCTTTTTTGAAAAGTTTGGTGTGAGAATGTATTATGTTGGGTCCTTTTACAGCTGTCTTCCCTTCTTATAACCCAAATCTTTGTTTTCATCCCCACATTCCCTACCCTTTGCACATTACATTGTCTAATATCCACTCCTCAATTATGCACTTCCCCCACCACTACCTGCACCTTATCTGTAACAATGTCTCCTTATACTTGTGTAATATTGTGACACTACTTCTGAATAGTGCTAATAGTACATGTTCACATACTCATATCTGTGTAGTTGATGTGACGACTTTGCATACATAAAGTGTATAAGTGTACTCTCTACATGTCCCCTTACGTATAGAACAGAAAGCTGACTTTAGACTTAGGACCAATGGTACATGATACAATGATATGACAAGTGGTGCAAGGCAATGCCATACTCAGATATCTATTTCTATCTTCTTCAAGAATTTAGTATTTGCAAACCATACGTATGCCACATAATATATATCCTGACCCTGTAGGTCACTCTTTGGAATAATATTTATTTGTATACCATGTTTCAATTAAAATTTGTCAAAATGTCACGTCACATTTTCATTATGCCAACAATGAAGAATGGACTGGACACGTGGTAGCGTCTGCATAGGCGGCCATTCTCGCTCAACAACCCAGCGAAAATGGCAGGATACTGACACGTGATAAAAGTATAGGCATTCTCTCTGGGCAGCCATGATTATATCCTGACCCTCCATGAGCAAATTGACAAGCACATATAAATGAAGGGCTGTTGTTGCTTGCTATGATTGCCATTTCATGATTATATCAGAGCTCAGTGAAGGACAGTGCTGTCATTTCAAACCCAACAGACATATGAACATGCCAGCTACAGTTGGAAAAGAGAGAGAGATTGAGAGAAAATAAAAAAATGAGAGGACCCATGAAGCTAAGAGGAATTGCTTATTATTCATTCAGAGGCTCTCCTGATGAAAACAAAGAGGAATTGCTCATTATTCATTCAGAGGCCCACATTTGGAACAGAATAGACTCATCATGAGGATTGAGTAAGATGAAAAATATGAATGATTGCAGTTGCATCCACATAAAAATCATATCCACTTCACAAGAAGTTTTGAGTGCTAGGAATTTCTGCTCTTTCAAGAGGAAAGAATCTTGATATCTGTGTACATTTACTAATGAAATCAATCCAAAGTTCCACATTCTTGGGGTTTGGATAACAGATATTATAAAGAATGTTTGCTGGTTTCAAGGCTATTCCATCTAAATTTAATGAGAGCAGTGCGCTTGTTCCCATGCACCGAGCTCTCTGAAACGGTGGCTCTTGTCCTTTTTAAAGAATTTACGGGATCTCAAAAAAAGGGTAAGAATTTAACTTGGATCTCACTCCAAATCTGCATAACACGTAATCTTATTTTTTCCAACTATCTTGACTTCTGTGCATTGATATTTAATTTATTCTGAAATTAAAGTTCTGATTCATGTGCATGTATTTGGCCTTTGCTATTACTACTTGTGCAAATAAGAATCTAATTCTAGTGTTTGGAAAAGTCTAATGTTTGAGTTGTACAATTGCATTACTTAAATCAGTGCATAGTTGCCAACCCAATTGTACGTTTCACACATGTACTCATCAAAACTGATGTGAGAGGTTTACATAACCAAAAACCAAGATATCTTCTGTATAAGTGGATGCTTATGAGCAATTTTTCAGATCACAAAGATTGAGGTTGACCTATGTGATATTGTTAAATGGCCAAGAAGAAGAGCTGGTTTAATCTGGTGAAAAGGCTTTTTATATGGGACACACATTCCACACAAGAGAAGGTAAATCTTATGCTTTTTTATGAATTAAATCTTTAAGTAAGATTATGTTTCTCATGAGATATAAAACATCTTTCCAGAAGGAGAAAAGAAGGAAATGGATCTTTGGAAGGCTAAAGACCAAGAGATTACCTTCAATTACAGCTCCACCTTCATCACTAGAAACCATTGCCTCAGCTGAAGCTGCTGCTGGTACAGCTGATCAGGTTGTTCAGCTCACTGGAGTCTCACAATCAGCTCATCAATGTGAAGAAAACTCAGAAGAATCTCAACCTGTTAAAACTATAGATGGTGCTCCTTCATCCACATACCAATGCCAGAGGGAGATTAAAGAATCTGCAGCCATCAAAATTCAAACTGCATTTCGGAGTTACCTAGTGAGTTTGTACAAGCTGTTTTCTTTGATTTCTGTTAGCTTAAATCCTCTTTGCATAATCTTTGCTGCTAAATTTCTCATTGATGGATTCAGATTAATTTGAAAAATAAGAATATAATTAATGATAGACAAACTAAAGGTTAAAAGTTGAACCAAATATTAGAAGCAGAAGCTTATTCTAAAATCAGTAATTGCTAAGATACAAGATTTTTTTTTTTCACCATATAGTGAATTCCTAAATTCACTCCAAAAAGAGTTAAAGAAGTAACGAAAAATTGAAAAAAGAGGAATCAGTAATAGGAATTAATAAGTTAAAGAAACCAAAGTCACCTTACTATACTCTTAGTCATCATATTCTCTTATTCACTGATTGCTAAGACATTGCAGGCAAGGAAGGCTTTGAGGGCATTGAAGGGAATAGTGAAGCTTCAAGCTATCATTCGTGGCAGAGCAGTAAGACGCCAAGCTATGAGTACTCTGAAGTGCTTGCAGTCCATTGTAAGTATCCAGTCACAGGTCTGTGCAAGGAGACTCCAAATGGTTGAAGGGAGATGGGAAGAGGTGCAAGATTCTAAAGACAAGATAATAAGGGTGAGCATAACAGGTTATACAATATTTCATTAGCCTCAATTCACATTGCAAACACACACGAGACTCCACTGGACTTGAAGGCACAGACTCATTTATTTGTGTTAAGAAATTCCAAAAGACTTAATTAATTATTAATTAAATGGGGACGGTGAGGATCGAACCCGTGACACCGAGACTTTAATACTATGTAAAGAATCATTTCAACCCAAAAGCTTAAGCTGTTAGATGAGGCCTTTTTAATGGTTTTTATATATCCCTGACACATAGTTTTCACATATTCAGATGGACTCAAACAGTGAGAGAAAGTGGGGTGACAGCACTATATTGACAGAAGAGGTAGATGCCTCTTGCATGAGCAAGAAAGATACAGTTCTTAAGAGAGAGAGAATAAAAGAATACTCGTTTAACCATAGAGTAAGCTCCTAGCTCTTTCATATATTATTGCTTGGTTATTTTGCACATCAAGGTTCTCAAACTAACCTACAGAAACCCCTCAGAGGTCAGCAGAGTCAGAAAGGAGTAAAGTCAATGGAAGATGGAGGTACTGGCTGGAGCAATGGGTAGATACACAACTTTCTAAAAGTAAAGAACTTGAAGATTTAGACTCAGTTTTCAGCTCACATTCTAGAGCTAGAGAGGAATATGGAGGAAGACAACTTAAGCTGAGAAGTACTCAGAGACAAAATCTAGTTGAAGGATTAGATTCTCCAATACTTGCTTCAAGAAAATCTTTTCCTCACAGGAGGCAGTGTTCAGTGGGAGAAGACCACTCATTTTCAAGCCCTCTTGCAACTCCAGCATATATGGCTGCAACTGAATCAGCAAAAGCAAAAGCAAGATCAACAAGCTCCCCAAAAGTAAGGACAGGGAATTTAGACACAAACTCTGATAGCTATTCACCATGCAAGAAAAAGCTATCAGTTGTATCTTCTAATAATAGTGAAGTGCTTATTAGTGGTAGGATGGGGAAGCTTAGTAGTACTCAACAAAGATCTCCAAGCTTTAAGGGCCTTTCAGTGCCTATAAAATCAAGCAGGACTATAAAGGATCTCAGCATTAATTCAGACTGTTCACTGTCCAATTGGGATAGACAAAGTTCCTTCAAATGAAGCTGTAGATGTTGATGTTGCTTGCAGTAATATAAATCCTTGTATCATTAGAGGGCTTGAAATGTTTATAACTATGTATGATGTATATGTGATTGGATGTTGTTTTGGTTGAGAATTGAACTTGAATGTGACAGAAAAGTTGTTAATTTTTTCATTGATTTGATGATTTGTTGTATGCTCTAAGCCTTGGATCTCAAATATATTTATTTATAACTTACTTAAATTCATAACTTGTTTATTCCTAACATGAATTTTGGAGCCGCCAAGTTATAGCTATAATTGTTATTTGTTAGGATTAGTCTTTGGCAGTGTATAATTCCAAAAAATTGTTTACTCAGCTACCTGTGTGGTTAGATTAAACCATTTTTTTTATTTTTTTTTGTAAACCTTGTCACACACATTTTTCAAACATTTTTTTTCCCGTGGTTCTTATCTAAAATTTAAACCTTAAAAATATAAAACTTATTTATTGTTAACATAAATTTACGTGCCACTGGCTATAGTCATACATAGTCTAACCCAATCAGTCAGACTCGGACCAGAAACCCAGCTCTCTTTACGTTCCTACTATTAGGCTGTGTTTGGTACGAGTTATCTTAAGAAATAGATATACATTTTAGTTTGGGAATCTAATTATACCATGTTTGGTTGAACAGATTATAATATTTTTCTATCAAAATTATTTCCCCAGCCATCCATATTTGCATGTAAAATTGCACCAAATAGACGCCCCTACAATATGGTATTTCGAGTTGTCCGACTAAATGGCACAAAAAGTTACAATTGGCCGATGAACATACCCTCACCTAATCTAATTGGAGACAGTGAATATCTAAACCAAATCTAAAGCGCGAAAGTGAATACGGGTAAAGGGTTATTTGGTGATTCAAAAAATTTATAAAGGGTTGTTTTGATAATTGCAACTTATTTTTCCATCAATATTTTACCTCCAATCAAACGTAGACTTGTAAATTTTACCTAATTTTTCTGGTAATTTTTTTTCCAACCAAACAATTTTTTTACATTTTCCTACCAAATTTATTTTCCCACCATATCCTTAGTAATTATATTTCCCTAGTATTCAAAAATTTTCTCCTAAACTAAATGCTCCATAAAACAAAAATAAAAACAACAACAATGGAATTAATCTTTTATATACAAGAACAAGTCAAGCCCAAAATCAAAAGAAAAGAGCCCGTACCACCCATTTGACTTGGCCCGTAATATTTTTCGTGTGCATTGCGATGCATTCTTTTGGGTTTTGACTATTCATGGCTCCATAAAGTCTTCAGCTTTTTCACGTAATACTCAACCATTATTCCAATTTTTTTATTTTTTATTTTACATAAGCAAATATATTATTGTTTCTTTTACAATCACGTTACTTACTTGATTCAATATTTAGAAAAGTATATAAGATGATTCAGAATCCCATATACATGTAGCAAAAGTAATGACCATTGCCTTCATTCTTGGGTATTTTTTCTTCTATGTAGAATTTTGGCAAAAAGGTACAAATGCAATTGGTGAAGCAAATGAACCTGTACAATGTTTCTCTACTTGAAATGTGAAAACTGCTACCCCCATATGACAACTACCTATCATTGATAGAAATCACACAATCTCAATATGGCTACTTGTATTTCCTTGACAGTCTTTTAATAAGTTTTTTTTTTTGGATACAAGTCTTTTAATAAGTTTATACTATAGAGAATCAACACATGCAATTCTTAATCTATAGTTTTCAAAAATAAGGAGATATAGCTAATAAAAAATATTGTTAGAGTTATATAAAATCATTAATGTAGTCCTACCCAATAACTTAAGTTTTTGGGTTGAATTAATTCTTTATATGATATCAGAGCATCGTATTTTAGGTTTAATCATCACCATCTCCTATTTAATTAATAATTAATTCAGTATTGTGAAGTTTCTTAGCACAAGTAGGTGAGACCGTGTATTGTCCACCCTTAAAACACAATGAGTTGTCTGAAGGGCGTGTTAGAGTTATATAAAAATATTAATGTAGCCTCATCCAACAACTTAAACTTTTGGATTGAATTGATTCTTTACAAATATAATGATCAAAGCATAAGAACGTGAGTCTTTGATTGAGACTATATAAATATCAATTTTTGGGGTCGAGAACAAAAATACATAAAATAAATTAAACACAACTTATCATAAAAAATAGGGAAGTGCATTATCAACACACACTTGCCATTCTCAGGAAACAAAATAAAAGCAAGGGTGAAATGATCAAAGAAAATAATCAAGGCACTATAGTTTATGGGAATATTGTTTCTGATGTTACATGAGATAATTTGTCTCACATGACATATAAAAAATGGGTGGTACTCACTTATTTATTTTTTCTCTCTTCTCTTTATAAATAGTACCTCATAATTTATTATGTTAACAAGTATATAGTACATGCACAATTGAAAACACGATTTATTTGACCATTATTATTACACGTGGAATTCTAAAACGAGTAGGCTAAAATGTAGTGGTCAAGTCTACGGTTCTATAGAAATTCCATGGTTACACTAATAATTTGATACGTGAAAGCGAAGGTGTCCCCCACTATGGTTGTTACTTTCAAGCATGGTTCCAACTCAAGTATTGTCGTTGGACACTTGGACTTGGACCTAACCAACATATTTCTGAGATGCTCACGAGTTTCATGAGACAAGCATAAGCCAACGCAGCCCACAAACATGGCAGTAATGTCATATACGAAATTGACTCGTGATTAAATGCATTGACCTAATATTGGAGGCTACCTTTTAATAAGTCACTCAAAAAATATTGTAAAGTATTAAAGTAACATTCTCATTCTAGAGGGTCTTGGGATCTAAGAAATTTACGTGTTGAAATTTGAGAAAGTTAACAAGTCACTGCCCTTCTATTATTATTGGAAAACGACATTAATTATAATGCAACTTTTCAAACTAGAACAAAATTAGAGTTTGATAATTTGAATTGATAGATTGGCCTTTCACTACTCACTAGGGTTTTTCTAGTATTCCATAACTATTAGTTGCATGATACATAGCCACTCACTTTCTGGTTCACACTGCTAGGCAGCAAGCTATCGATGTCTAAACCTAGTTATAATATAGGGAGAATGGCCTTACACACCACTATTATTATTAAATCCGGACCGGTGATTGACCCGGTCAGGATACTAGATCAGTGGATCACTGATTCAATCAGTGAGTCACTAGTTCAACCATATAAATCACATATATATATATATATATATATATATATATATATATAAATATAAATTTATATTCTATAATCAATTATATAATAAATATTTTAAATGGTGCAAGTGAATCAAGAACTAAATGTAATTTAGTGGTAAAGACTATAATTTATATCTTCATAACAAGAGTTCGATTTTCACTAAATGCTATTTTGAAATAATTATATTAAATGATAATATATATATATATATATATATATATATATATATATATATTAAATATTAACCAACAAATAAACTCAGCACATTGGTAAGTTGTTATTGGGCATTCTTGACCGGTTCACCGGGTTGATAGCATGTCCGGTCCATTAATGCAAGAATCGGATCTGTTGATGGGCCGGTTTTCGGGCCAACCGGCTCGTCCGACCGGGCCAGTCTGGTTTTAACAACACTGCTATTTACAATTTTTTTTTCTTTTTTTTTTGTACAATTCCAAATAGTCACATGTTTAAGCAGAGAAAGCATTTTTCACTTTATTACGAATAGACAAACTCAATATCAAATGAAACATAGCATGAGAATGGATTCGTGTTAAAATTTCACATAATGAAATGATGTGAAAATTTTTGTGTTTGAATTTTTTTTTTCACAAATATTTATGAATTTTAGCAATACCCGGGCCGATACCTACATGAAAGAGATATAAATAAATAAATGATTCACATAATGAGGACATTCATCCATGAAAACTTCCCGAAAAGTTGTCATGTCTGATACCTTGAAAGAATATGGAATTGGAAAATGGTTTTCTTCATGATACTAATGCAGCTTACATATATAAGTGCATCAGCTAGGCAAGATATATAGATGCATATGTAGGATAACAAAACTCAAGCATAATATTAAAAAACAAACTGGTTAATTTGCTGTCATATATAACTAAAACAGAGGATGAATGCGTTATCGTATAAAGAATAGAACACATTCTAAACGACAAGCCAAAGGTGGAAAGGGATGCCGAGTGACACTCATAAATGGCAGACAGTTCATTTCGCTTCATTTGTCAGTAATTAGGATTGGTTTTCTACTGGCTCGGGAAAGTACTACTGTACTACGTTAAAAAAATGGTTGAAAGAAAAGCCTCGGTTCGATCCCCACTAATATTATTTTTGGGAGAGTGATTATTTTGCAACGTTTGGACAAAAAAATTACCAGACTGCCACGTCAACAGTAAATTTTGTCAAAATGCCACGCAGCATAATTCGCTACACAGTGTAGCGAATTATGTATGTAAGTAATTCGCTACACAGTGTAGTGAAATATGCCACGTCAGAACTAAAAATGCCACATGTCAAATTTTGCAAAATTCGCTACCCTATGTAGCGAATTTTGCAAAATTTGACATGTGGCATTTTTGGTTCTGTGCGTTCTGACGTGGCATATTTTGCTACACTGTGTAGTGAATTACTTGCATACATAATTCGCTACACTGTGTAGCGAATTATACCGCGTGGTATTTCGGCAAAATTTACTGTTGGTTTGGCAGTCTGGTAAATTTTTTGTCCAAACGTGACACTTTGGTCACTGTTCCATTATCTTTGACAGGGACATAAAATCTTAATTCTTGAACGCCTAAACTTGAGATTAGTTCAATAGTTAGCTCGAAGAGCTGAAACTTATAAAAATATTCGGGAGATCCTACTCCTCTCAAAAAAACTAATTAGAGTTGGTATAAAAAAAAATTAAAATATTACAAAATATAAGAATAAGGCATATTAAGAAAGATAAAACTAAAGCATAAATATTAAATAATCATATTCAAATTCCTTTTTTCCACTTTTATTTTGATCGATTTTGTTTTTATTCGACCAAAAATAATTGAGTCTAATTCCACATGGTTAAGTTCATTCCAAGTTAGTGTGTTTAGGTGTTGAAGGACATCTTCGGTATCGAAGGCTAATATATGTGGGATGAT